TTTCCCCTTTCATTTAACTGCTGTAGCAACAATTTCAACTGTTCTCTTCTCCCCCGGGGTTCCTTACTCTAATTGTAAATAGCCGGAAAGTCATCAAGCAAGCATTTAATAAACTTTTAATTTGAAATGGATTACCACATGTTGTGTTTGTTTACCCATTATTAAATCTCTCAGCTACATATCATTGGTAAAATCAGCATAGCTTTTGCTTATATATTACAAAACAAACACATGGGGGATATTAAAATGCTGTCAAAATATATTTAGAGAGACCCTAATGGTACAAATACACAGAGCGGTTGAACCATTTTACTAGATATATGTATTAGTCATGCAAATGCTCAATGAGAAAATTGCATATGCTTTATATTAATTGACCTTGCACAGTTAATCTCAAATGATTTGCCCTGTAATCACGACACACAGAAAGTGTCTTCAGACTGCTTGCCACTTGAAGACATGTTGCTATTATCACACAGTCATCCAAGTGTATTTATTAAGAAGTCTGCAGTAAATTACCTCACTTCATTTTGGTCACATTTTGCCCAGCCTTACTATATGTACGACATGCAGTAGCCTAATACTTTGAGGTAATTTATCATTGAGACATTAACTTTAGACAAATCTCCAGCTGTGCTGCTGTTTAGGCTATTTTCACACACACAGAAGTAATTAAATCAACGTTCAAGTGGCATTGGGTTTCTGTTATAAGTTCACATATGGAAGTGGCAAAAATAGCCAGGATTAAATCAATAATGATGTTAAGACATATTGGTCAATATATAAACTAGGTAACATTTTTATGAATAGTAATATTTGTAATTGAGATGTTTTAAAATTGTGCCCTGAAGTGAAAAAAGGTTAACCCATAGGATGAACATTTTAAAGATGAACGGATATGTTCTAGGAAAGATGTTATGGAATGAGAGTTTTATGAAAAGAGCTTTGATACATTTTAAAGGAATGCCCCAAGTGACATGACAACTTCAGCATGCTGTGGTGGCTATGGTGTCAGAAGTACCTTGGCGATCCATTCCCATGTAAAACTGTTTTAACCCCTTAAGGACCGAGGACGGTTCAGGACCGTCATCGGCATTTTTGCCTTGAGGACCGATGACGGTCCTGAACCGTCCTAACGGTCAGAGCTACTTACCTGATCGCCGTCGTTCCCCCGGCGGCGATCAGCGTGGCTCCGGTTGTGGGGAGACTGCCTGCAGCCCAGACAGTCTCCCCACGGCAGATTAGGACCCCTGTGGCCATGTGATCGCTTAACACAGCGATCACATGGTCACAATAGGTGTCCATGTGTCTGCCTGCAGGGGGACTGCCTGTGCTGACAGGCAGTCTCCCTGCTAGTGTAAAATCAAAAAAAAATAAAGTTAGTGTTAATAAAAAAATAAATAATAATTATATATGTGTATATATGATATATAGACATATAATATATCTATATAATATGTCTATATATCATATATATATAATGTCATACTAAGTGTATTTTTATATTAATATGTACTTATATTAATATAAAAATACACTTATAATTAAATTACACAAGTATATATATAATATATATAATAACTATATATATTGTATATATATATTATTATAAAATATAAATAATAAGTAATTTAAATTAAATGATTTTTTTAAAAATAATAATAAAAAATTTTAAAAAAATTATATAGCTATATGAAATTTTATTCTAACTGTATTTTAAAATTAATATATATATATTTATATCAAAATACACTTAGAATGAATTTGTATATATATCTATGTATATAAAAATAAATAAAAATAATAAGAAATATACATACGTCCATATACAAAATTACATAAATAATTATATAAATATACACGTAGACTTCAAATATATAAATATGCATATATATTTAAATTCTACGTGCGTATTTATGTAATATTTTTACATAATTCAGTAATTTTATTGATTGCAATTTGAGGGACCTGCCTGCCAACCCAGGCCGAAATTCCAGAGAATTTAATTTGCTAGCACTGTATTTTACCCTGTAACGTTCTACGACACCCTAAAACCTGTACATGGGGGGTACTGTTTTACTCGGGAGACTTCGCTGAACACAAATATTAGTGATTCAAAACAGTAAAACATATCACAGTGATGATATTGTCAGTGAAAGTTACTTTTTTTGCATTTTTCACACACAAACAGCACTTTTACTGATGATATAATTGTTGTGATACGTTTTCCAGTTTTTAAACACTAATATTTGTGTTCAGCGATGTCTCCCGAGTAAAACAGTACCCCCCATGTACAGGTTTTATAGCATTTTTGAAAGTTACAAGGTCAAATATATGGGTCAAATATTTTTACATTGAAAATGGCCAGGTTGGTTACGTTGCCTTTGAGAGCGTATGGTAGCCCAGGAATGAGAATTACCCCCATGATGGCATACCATTTGCAAAAGAAGACAACCCAAGGTATTGCAAATGGGGTATGTCCAGTCTTTTTTAGTAACCACTTGGTCACAAACACTGGCCAAAATTAGCGTTCAATTTAGTTTTTTTACTTTTTTCACACACAAACAAATATGAATGCTTACTTTGGCCAGTGTTTTCGACTAAGTGGCTACTAAAAAAGACTGGACATACCCCATATTGAATACCCTGGGTTGTCTACTTTAAAAAAAATATGTACATGTGGGGTGTTATTCAGAGATTTATGACAGATAATAGTGTTACAATGTCACTATTGATAAATTTTAAAAATGTATGTTTTGAAACCGCAATATCCTACTTGTACCTATAGCCCTATAACATGCAAAAAAAAGCAAAAAAGCACGTAAACACTGGGTATTTTTAAACTCAGGACAAAATTTTGAATCTATTTAGCAGTTTTTTTCATTCGCTTTTGTAGATGAGTAAAAGATTTTTCAAGTAAAAGTCAAAAAACATGTATTTTTTTCAATTTTTCATCATATTTTTTTATTTTTTTTAAATTAAAATACATGAGATTATATAAATAATGGTATGTAAAGAAAGCCCCTTTTGTCCTGAAAAAAACAATATATAATTTGTATGGGAACAGTAAATGAGAAAGCGGAAAATTACAGCCAAACACAAACACCACAAAAGTGTAAAAATATGCCTGGTCGCAAATGTACAACATCGCAAAAACTGTCCAGTCCTTAAGGGGTTAAAATAGTTTGACTTATTACTTTGGTAATGCTGGGCATTACTCCCTGCCTCTATTCAGCCAGAAGCTCTCATCTTTGAGCCAAGCCCAGCCATCAGCTAACACCCTCAGCCGATGAACAGGTCCTGCAGAGCTTTGCTCAGGAGAGCCAATAGACTCGCGTAGGAGGAGTTTCTGTCTTTAACTCAAGAATGCACTCATATACACTAACATGAAGCCTGTGATATAAAGCCCATCTGAAGGTAATGGTGAATCCAAGGTAGTGTCAAATTATTTGTTATATACAAGGAAAATATGTGAAAATATATAATCAAATAATCAAATACTATGATCAAATAACAAAATAGATTATTGCACAAACAAATGTGTGTATAAAAGGTATCTAAAAATAAAATAGTTTTAAAAAGTTCAATAAGTTATTGTGGAGGCTTCCTCAGTTGTAATTAACAATGATCAAAAGTCACCTTATAAATTTCAAACATTTTCCACTAATGGGTTCCTTCTGGTCCACGTTTTCATTCCTTGGAGCGCACAATGCGTTCTTTCTGTCGTCATTTCCACTTTTTTTCCTGTTGGGGGTATGTACCTCACAGCACAATAGATGTAGCCATGGAGCACATTTCTGCATTCCACTTATGTGGGCACACGTCTCCCTCTTAGTGCTTATCCGATAACTTTGTAATATTAAACGTAAACTTACATTCCACTCATACCATATAAAATAAATGCAAAAAATACAATCTAAGGATAGAGAGAGAGAGATAAAAATGGTGCAGTAAATTTAAACACTGATAAATGCTAGTGGCTAAATGCACTCACTAGAAGGAATTGATTGGAGGCATATGTAAAATTGCTGTTGGAGGAGCATAGTCTTCTTTACTCTTGTCCTTAAAGGGATTTAAGAGAAAGTTTCTAATCCCTTTTAGAGACTTATACATATGTTTTCTTTTATGAATTTCCATTCTATGTTGTGTTTGTATATGGGAGTCCGTTTCGCGGAGGCATGGAGCGCATATAGGAAGAAGAGACGATCAGGTGAATCTATTTTCCACCGCCCCGTCTGATTGGTTGCAGGCCCGATGGAAAGGCGCAGAATTACATTTAAAAGAGATTGGAGGAGAACATGATACATCTCCTGCTGCCCCTGACGAAGTCCAAGCGGGACGAAACGCGTTGGGGTGAAGGGACCCACATAAGACTTTTTTGTTTGTTTTATTTTATTGTTTTAAGTTATATATATATGTTTTATTTTTATTTTTCTGGCTGCTTCACTATTTTGTTGTCAGGGCTTACCTGGGTTGGGAGTCGGGCAGGCAGAGATGTATGCTCACCCTTGCAAGAAAACACAGGCCGAGGTGGTCTGGTGAGAATTCACCTGGCCTGTGAGTCGGTGCACGGGGGCTGTGCAGGGTAAACTCCAAGTCATGGTACAGGAACGGATAAACCAGGAGAATAGTCGTGGGAAGCCATGGGTCAGAGGATGCCAGAAGTCAGAATAAACAAAAACACAAGCCAGAGTCAAGAGCAAACTGGAGAACAGGAAACAGCAAACCAATCACCAGAGTCAAGGAACTGACACTGCCTTCTGGGAGATGCAGTGTTATATACCTGGCTAACGAGACATCAGCTTCAGGTGTAACATGAGTGGCAGGAGTAGTTCTACTAAATGTCCAGCCCCCAGTGCAAGCTACTAGACAGGGCTAGATACAGGCAATAGTAAAGCTGAGAGGTGGCTCAGAGGTAACATAACAGCACCAGAACCGCTAGGTTCGAATCCTGACATTTGTTCCTGACCTGAGGGATCCTCCTCCAAGTCCACGGTTGGGCAAGACATTTGTTGTGATACACTGGACTTTCTTTGAAATTTTGTGAGTGCAATCTAAATAAATTTTGTTTTACTATTTTACTGGTACACTATGTGTGTGTCTTTCTCTTAAATCCCTTTAAGGACAAGAGTAAAGAAGACTAAGCTCCTCCAACAGCAATTTTATATATGCCTGCAATCAATTCCTTCTAGTGAGTGCAGTTAGCCACTAGCATTTATGTGTTTAAATTTACTGCACCATTATTTTTATCTATCTCTATATCCTTAGATTGTATTTTTTGCATTTCTATGTAAAGAAGATTTAAGGGAGCTTCTTACAATCTATTGTAATATAAGGGTAATCTGTATTTTATATATATTTTTACCCACTTTTGGTGTGCACGTGTACAGTTATATACATATTGCCAATATAAAATACAAGATAAATATGTATGCTACATTCGAGGAGGAGATTCTTCATAGTCAAAAAATGTACTTGAGAAATATATGAACTTGGACTTTCAAATGAACTAATAAAAAAGTAACAAAATAATCCCTAATAAATGCTATATAAAAGGCAATGTGGCGGGCGGAGCCTGACCTGCTCACTGTACCTGCCGATTTATTGATCAATACCAACCTTATACACATCAGGGTGGCCTACCCATGTTTAGGGTGCCATGGTGAATCTCCTGATACCTTACTCGAGTATTTTTGTAACTGGGAAACCGAGGTGACTCGCCAGTCCCTAAAGAGCCCTTATTCTACATGACGCTGGGTCCTGATGCCTGGGGGAGCCCTGCAGGTCCTACTAGTCATGTCCTTTTCTGGTCGCACCACCGTTGGTCTCTACTCAAGCGGACTGCTGGGCCCAGCATTAAGACTCCCTTGGCTGGACTTTGTGTTACCCCAATGGGGCATTGGCTAACTTGGCTGCAATGCATAAAGCAGAGGGAATTACCATATCTGGCAAAGAGAGGACCTGTAGTTATGGCAGCCTGTGGGGGAAGAATTGTTTTGTTTTGTTTTTCTAGCTTAGCTAACAGAAAGGCCTTCTGGAGGGTTTCTTACTTTAACCTAGTCTCTGTGCATATAGGCTACTCACTTACTGTTACACTGCTGTTCAAACTAATTTGCACTGTGTTACTACTGTACTCATGTCTAACATGTAAAAAATACATGCTGATCCCTATATATACTTTCTTTACTGTTTAAAATCATACCATGACTGTTTCAATAGTGTATTCTATGCAGGGCCGGATTAAGGGGCTGATGGAGCTGCTGCTCCAGGCCCATGCCCATGCAACAGGCATGGGCCTGGAGCTTTAAAAAGAAATGTTATTTTTTTTACTACTCTTCATATGCACTTGCTTAAGTGTGGAAACCTAAGAGGGATGCAGGGGAACAAAACTTGTGTGGACTGGCTGACAATGAAGTTAGTTAAGTTGAAAAGGTAAAGCTGATCTTGCGCACTATGCAAATGCTCTTGCTGCTTCAGTCTCTCTAACATGGTGGCATGTTCCCTGTCTTCTACACTCACTACATAAAAGTAGTGAGAAGGTTAGGAGAAGAGTGGACAAGTGCTATGGGACAGTCCTTAGAAAGCATAGAGTGAGCGCATCATTAGACGCATTTATGACAACCTCAGGGTGATGTCTGCATTATATGCTCTTTGTTGGCCAGCCTGCATGATTGGAAGGCAGCCTGACATACATTCACACCATGCTAGCCTTACAATTCTTCAAGCAGACAAGCCACCTTTTAGGGCATGTTCGCCCCTTTGGACGGTTCTGATTATGTGATTCGCATCAGTAGTCCACCCTTTTATCCCGCCCACTAACATCCTGCCTCACTGGACACTGCTGTTAGGGGGTATGGATTTACTTAAAATATTAATAACAATAATAACAATAATAACAAAGTATATAACCAGGAAAGGTACATTCAGATTACTCTGGTTTTCAAGTACGTCCTGGAAAGATGAAAGTGAGACATTAGCATAGGGTATGTGTTTTCTTATAACTGCATCCTGTGATGTCCCTTTAGCACCACCTCCACCAGATATATGACATTTGGGAGGTTAGGTTTTAGTGTTTTCTGTCGATAAAATTCTGTAATTAGGCCCATCATAATTGTCAGCACCAGACCCAATGAGCTCTTAATCTAGCCCTGATTCTATGTACAAAAGTGTATCACCTAAAATAGTGTTCATAAAATACTCTATCAAATAGTGAGTCACAATGTAAACCCCATGCACAATGCTGGCAAAGTTGACAAATAAAAAAATATACAAATAGAAAAAAAAAAAGGCCAGTGATGTAAGAATCGCTATACATTTAAAAATTCTTATTTATTTTAAAAATGACAAATCTCAAAGTCTTGGCTAAGCCCATGGTAGGTCAAGGTGTTGAAATTGAAAACATGTAATAGTTCTCCCTACATATAACAAATTGCAAGGAAATTTTAAAACATATATGACTCATTTTGAGTAACAAGTTAACTGGTCCCTTAATTAAAATTTGTTGATAATGTGTTCTTTTAAATCTACTATATGTTGTTTTTTACTTTTACTTTATTTTGCAGGACAGGCATAGGCTACCCCACTAAAAAAAACTGTATTGTGATTACGAAAATGGTTTGACTGTTCTGGTTTTAGATAACTTCATACTAAAGTATGTTTAATAATTTTAACACCCCTGTATATAATCCTTGTTTCGGGGTGAAAATATTTTTCACACAGGGTCATCCTGTAGAATGTGCCAATATTTTTTGATGGCCCTCCGAACCTTTTTTATGATTATCATTCCCTTATTATTAATCCCTCATTCAGAACCAGAAAAATTTATTGCAGCAATTGCTATGTAATTGCTAAGTGTGGGGTTTATAAAAAAAAAACAGATTACCCTTTAGGAGGCCATGGCGTTGGGCCACTGCCTAAAGCTTTGGCTCTGAGTTGACCCACCTCGAGCCTGCAGGAAGATGAAAAGATCTCCCTGCATCGCAATTTAAATAAAAATTATTCCCTAGAGGATCATAATGTAATTGTAGTCCCTTGCAGTTCTGGTGCTCTGTGAGGGAGTCACATCATAGGCCCCAGGGTTCCAAGCCTGCACAAGGAGCTCATTGGACCATCAAGGAATTCACCAAACCACCAGGAAATTTATTATTGCCCCACTTTCTGCCCAGAAAGTGGCAAATGTTAAATAGAAAAATCAAAGGTGATACAGTATGAGGAGACTGTGTTCAACACTTTCTCCCCACATATTTTCACTCCCCCTCCACACTCAGCTCCCATACATGTCACCCTCTTGCTCACCCTGCCACAGTCATCCAACTCACCCTGTCCACACTCACACATCACACTCTGTAACAATTCCTCCATCTCACTGTATCATGCTCATCCCCATCCTTGTCACACCCTGCCACACTAACTCTGTAACATTCATCTCTCAACCCTGTCACACTCACCCTTCATCCTGCCAGACACCCTGTAACACTCACCCACCCACCCTGCCACTCTCACTTCCCAAATCTGCCATACTCACCCCATTCACCCTGTTACAGTCACCCCATCTCCCTCTGTCACACACATCCCACTAAATTCTTTGACACTACACCCTCTAAAACTTTCACCAACCTCCAAACCCTGTCACACTTAATCCACCCACAGTCTGATAAGTCACCTCCTACTCACCCTATGACTGTCACTACCTGAAGATAGTAATGTTCATACATAGTCACCTACCACACATGAAACACAGCCTCACCATGAATACAAATACAGTAAGCAGCCCCCATTACACACAACACAATGCAAACAACTACCCCACACACATACACTCCTAAACACAGATATACGCATGCACACAGACACATATTTAAATACAAGGATGCTCAGGCACATACACAGATAAACAATGCAAGAGACACAGAAACTTTCATTCAGAATTGCACACACACACACTCGGGCACATAAACAAGTTTCTAGTTTATACATTACTGAAACCTGGAAAACCACCAAATTTAAAGCTAACTGGTTTAATGTAGGCTACAGAGGAGAGATTTTAAGTCCATACATAACACGTGTATTTTACACTATATTGTTCTAAAATATTGCATTACTAATTGATACCCAATTTTGTTCATATATATAAAATGACAGAAATCTCTAAATCTCTCAAATGCATTTTATTCAGTCTATACTTCTATAGTGCCCTAGATTTTTCAGTTTGAAAATGGGATTCCTTTACACCTAGATAAGATGGGTAACTTTTTTTCTTCTTGTACAAATTCCACATAGATGCATATATAGATTGCTGTATATTTTTACAGAGTCTTATTTTTATACAGGGAGTGCAGAATTATTAGGCAAATGAGTATTTTGACCACATCATCCTCTTTATGCATGTTGTCTTACTCCAAGCTGTATAGGCTCAAAAGCCTACTACCAATTAAGCATATTAGGTGATGTGCATCTCTGTAATGAGAAGGGGTGTGGTCTAATGACATCAACACCCTATATCAGGTGTGCATAATTATTAGGCAACTTCCTTTCCTTTGGCAAAATGGGTCAAAAGAAGGACTTGACAGGCTCAGAAAAGTCAAAAATAGTGAGATATCTTGCAGAGGGATGCAGCACTCTTAAAATTGCAAAGCTTCTGAAGCGTGATCATCGAACAATCAAGCGTTTCATTCAAAATAGTCAACAGGGTCGCAAGAAGCGTGTGGAAAAACCAAGGCGCAAAATAACAGCCCATGAACTGAGAAAAGTCAAGCATGCAGCTGCCACGATGCCACTTGCCACCAGTTTGGCCATATTTCAGAGCTGCAACATCACTGGAGTGCCCAAAAGCACAAGGTGTGCAATACTCAGAGACATGGCCAAGGTAAGAAAGGCTGAAAGACGACCACCACTGAACAAGACACACAAGCTGAAACGTCAAGACTGGGCCAAGAAATATCTCAAGACTGATTTTTCTAAGGTTTTATGGACTGATGAAATGAGAGTGAGTCTTGATGGGCCAGATGGATGGGCCCGTGGCTGGATTGGTAAAGGGCAGAGAGCTCCAGTCCGACTCAGACGCCAGCAAGGTGGAGGTGGAGTACTGGTTTGGGCTGGTATCATCAAAGATGAGCTTGTGGGGCCTTTTCGGGTTGAGGATGGAGTCAAGCTCAACTCCCAGTCCTGCTGCCAGTTCCTGGAAGACACCTTCTTCAAGCAGTGGTACAGGAAGAAGTCTGCATCCTTCAAGAAAAACATGATTTTCATGCAGGACAATGCTCCATCACACGCGTCCAAGTACTCCACAGCGTGGCTGGCAAGAAAGGGTATAAAAGAAGAAAATCTAATGACATGGCCTCCTTGTTCACCTGATCTGAACCCCATTGAGAACCTGTGGTCCATCATCAAATGTGAGATTTACAAGGAGGGAAAACAGTACACCTCTCTGAACAGTGTCTGGGAGGCTGTGGTTGCTGCTGCACGCAATGTTGATGGTGAACAGATCAAAACACTGACAGAATCCATGGATGGCAGGCTTTTGAGTGTCCTTGCAAAGAAAGGTGGCTATATTGGTCACTGATTTGTTTTTGTTTTGTTTTTGAATGTCAGAAAGGTATATTTGTGAATGTTGAGATGTTATATTGGTTTCACTGGTAATAATAAATAATTGAAATGGGTATATATTTGTTTTTTGTTAAGTTGCCTAATAATTATGCACAGTAATAGTCACCTGCACACACAGATATCCCCCTAACATAGCTAAAACTAAAAACAAACTAAAAACTACTTCCAAAAATATTCAGCTTTGATATTAATGAGTTTTTTGGGTTCATTGAGAACATGGTTGTTGTTCAATAATAAAATGAATCCTCAAAAATACAACTTGCCTAATAATTCTGCACTCCCTGTAAAAGCATTTAATAAAGTCTTAGTGGGAAGCAAATATGTAGCATGTAAAAGCATTGGTTATTATATTTCATGTTTGGTAATGCTATGTCACCATTTGTGAAAGTCTCCTTAGAATTTCTAGTTTATACATTATTGAAACCTGGAAAACCTCCAAATGCTTGCCTGAATTTTAGGCCCATCACACTTGAATAATGAAACAAAACTTTACTTTAACATTTTAGCTAATAGATTAAATAATTTAATCTAATTGAAAGTACCCAGGTAGGATTTTTTTAAACAAACAGACATGTGACAATATCAATTTGACACATTATAGAGGTGTAATTCAGACAAGTTCTCTACTCCTTTCATTGGACGCAGAGAAGGCATTCGAAAGAATACATTGGGAATATTTAATAAAAGTATTAAAGGTTATGAAATTCCCTGTGTCATTCACTAATGTAATATTTAAATTATATAGTTTCCTCACAGTAAAGGTTTGCGCTTCAGTATACATATCTTTACTTTATGCAATTGAACAAGACAAGCGTGTCCCATACCTCCATTATATTAGCTATATAACCCATAGCAATTAAATTAGAAATTACTTGGAAATTACAGGAATTGATGTTGGAAATAAAACACATAAACACATAAAATGGGCTTATTTGCTGATATTTTTTGCATATCTATAACCCTATGGATTCATTACCCTATTTGGTTGCTATTTTGGCATAAATGGGAATAAAACTCAGACTTTAGGAGAGAAAAAAAGTGTAGCAAGAGGGGTGAGGACAGACAACAGATCAAATAGCCTGCCCTTCGGTGGGTCCCCGCTCAGATCTCAACTTGTGCCATTACAGAGAGAACATCTCTAAAGCATATCAGACTGGTCCCACCCATACGGGCAGTCCAGATCCAAAATGCAAGCAAGTTCCCTCTGCACGAGAGATACTGCAACCCCAGACGATCGTTTCAACCTTATTAGGGATCATCAGTGAGGCATAGCTGATATCTCTCTAGGCACCATGAGTGGACCAGTCTGATATGCTTCAGAGATGTTCTTTCTTTAATGGCACAAGATGAGCTAAAACCAGCTTGAGATTTGAGCGGGGACCCACCGAAGGGCAGGCTATTTCATCTCGGTATACTCTTGCGCCTTCCGCTCTCCAAAACTCAGACTTTGCCCATTAATATCATATGTATAGAATTGGCTGATCTAAAATTAAGCTATCCTTGTGATTGGAGAAATTTGTACCTCTCCTTTTTAGGGATTAATTTAAAAAAAAAAAAATTAACAATATGCTCTCACTAACGTTTGAGAAAAAATGTCCTCAAGTAAAAGCAGCACTTTACAGATGGTGTAGTTTGGAATTTTCGTGGCTAGGAAGAATTGGAACATTTTTCCAAAACGTCTTTATCTAATTAAAACAATACATTAAAATATTCCTAATTCCGTTTAAAAAAATTATCAATTCAGATATTATTTGGAAAAATAAATTTAACTGAATAAAGCTGGGAATATTACAGTGATGTAGCGGATATGGAGGTCTGGGAATGCCTGACTTTCAAGAATATTATATTGCTGCAAATGCAGCAGCTGCTTTAAAATTTGCTTTGCAACAAGATGTTCCTAAATGGTTATTAATGGAAAGGGCAATACTTTCACCCATATCAATTTCTGATATTATATAGTAGCCTAAGTTAAGTACACAAACCCAACAACTAAAATAACAGATCTTGGCATAAACTCTACAATACAGTATATCCCAATAAACAATATTTTAAAGGCCTTTAGGGAATTTTCCCCTGAACTGAATATAGATTTCATGAAGTGGCACAAGTTCAAAATACAATATTTAAATGACTTATTTAAAAAAAAAAAAAAATGCATTGATGTCTTTTAATAAAATGAAAACTTTTTTTTTTTGGAGGACAATATGCTCGATCAATATATGATATAATTTGCATTAAAGAAAACTTTTAACATCTTAGAATCTGATCAACAGTTAGATCATGTGGAACTGCCCAGTTTGGACAATATATATCTGAACAGTCCAAATCAAAAATGTGATTTTGTTGTTGTACTACTCCCCTTCTTCATCTATTTCTAATTATAATATGGAGTTTATGCAAGATTGTAAATAAGTAAAAATGTATGTATGGTCACTAATTGTTTTGTCCCTTCCCCTTTCCCTTTTCCTTCCCTTTGTTAGGTTTTCCCTTATTATTGTATTATTTATGTTATAAGAATATATATTATATAATCAATTTAAAATCTTAAATCTTAAAAAAAGAATTTGAAAATAATGTCTAGTTTATGAAATCATAGTGACTCCTTTCCAATATCTCCTTGCTGGGCATACCTTGTACATAGTTGAAATGTAAACTTGAATTTGTTATTTGGTGATGTGACTGTTTAGCTGTTTCTCTTTGTATTATAGATTTCCTTGCACCTTCTTCAAATACAGAATTGTTCTCATCATGGCTTGTATAAGTGAGGAACTCTTGGGGCAGCTGAACAAATATTTCGTAGTCATTCTGCTCACTAAGATACTGTGGCAATTTTATTACCTGCAAAAAAATAGTGTACAATTGTAGTTACAATGAACAACATATGTAAAGTGAATGCATGAACTTAAATACATTTTCGGATATTGTAAATGCATTCAACTATCTTAATAAATGACTTAAGTTATATTAAATAATAAAAGACAAGCTTGCTTTTTGAGGACCAAATATTTTATGACATACTGTGCACTATTAACCAAAATATTTTTGGCAGTTTTGCTATGTGTTCATTCCATCATAATTTAATGGTTTCAGTAATATCTACACAAGTGGAACTAAATAAAAATAGCTCAAAGTAGCTTCCACTCTTCTTGGAATCCTTTCCAGTGTTTCTGTGGGAATTTTTGCCCATTGAACCAGTAGAGCATTTGCGAGGTCAAGCGCAGATGTTGGATAAAAAGACTTGGCTCTCAAACTCAGTTTCAGTTCATAAGTGTTTGATGGAGTTGAGGTCAGGGCTCTGTGCTGGCCAGTCCAGTTCTTCCAAACCAAACTTATTCAACCATGTCTTTATGGACCTTGCTTTGTGCATTCGGGTACAGTCATAGAGGAATAGAAAAGATCTTTCCTCAAACTGTTTCCACAAGGGTGGAAGCATAGCATTGTCCAAAATGTCTTGGTATGCTGAAGCATTAAGATTTTTCTTCACTGGAAGTAAGGGGTTTAGTCCAACCCCTGAAAAACAGCTCATACCATTATCTCTTCACCACCAAACTTTACAATTGGCAAAATACAGTCAGGCAGGTAACCAAAACCCATCAGACTGCCAAACAGAGAAGCTCAATTCATCACCCCACAGAACATGTTTTTACTGCTCTAGTGGTGACATGCTTAACACCAATCAATCTGATGCTTGGCATTATACTTGGTGAGGAGGCTTGCATGCAGCAACTCGGCCATGAAAACCCATTCCAGTTTTTGTGCTCATATTAATGCCAGTGTAATTTTTAAACTCTTCAGCATTGGTGACTTTTGCGTACCATGCGTCTCAGCACTCCCCTTCCACTTCATGTCTTAGTTGCTGCTTTTCCCAAATGCTTCCACTTTCCAATAATACCACTTACAGTTACCAAAAGATTATCTAACAGGGTCTGATTGAAACACTTAACTTCAATAAGGCGTGTTCCAATAATTTTGTCCATATTGTGTATGTCATGAATATATGGAATCTTGTAAAGTCCTTAAAGAGACACTACAGCCCTAAAGCACCATAGCTTGGTAAAATGATATATGTTTGAAGAGTGTGTGTCCTTTTTTTTTTTTTTTTTTGTCGTTCTTGAGCTGAACAGAAAAATGCATGTTATACACAGAAACATTTGCAATGAAAACTTGTACAAAGGAATACATAAATGATTAGTTATAATTTATTAATTATAAAATGATTAGCACATTTTTAAGAAATCTTTTACTAGCATGCTAGTTTAACGCAAGGTTAATATGCTGGAATAATGTGCCACCCCTGAAGTGTCCAAATTATATGAGACATATAATGCATGGTCATTATTAAATTAACACTTTTAAATGTAGGAGATAGGGACAGGCAATAGCAGGAGAGTAAACTAAGGAGTAAAGACATGTCAACTCCACATTGATCTCTCCCGGCTGTGTGTAATAGAAGGATGAGCAAAGCCACCTTCTGATTATTCAGCCTATGCCCAATGAGGGCCGGGTGCAGTCCCAGATAATGGGGTGAGTTGTTTGGCTTAGCAGCACAGACATTGTAGGTGAACCCAAGTTGTACGGTAACTCCCTCAGCATACTCTGCTATCCTCTGCCTGCTGAATCCCGCTGGAGGCTCCGTCTGTTGGCTCTGTCAGTGCTCAGCTTAGATGCAGGCCTGCACACCTTGCTCCTCGTGAACCGCCAACGTGGCCTTCTCCTCCATTTGCATGCTCTCCCAGAACCTAGCCAGATCCGAGTCTGCCTGGATGAATGCTTAAGTGAGCTTTGAATGGTAGGCACCAGATTCCAGAGGGACATTTTCCTCCAGAAATTGGCAAGGAGTTTGTCCAGCTTGTACAGCACTCCAGACTTTGCTCCAGTGTAGTCAGGCACGGGTCATGTGGGATCCGCCATTTTAAGTGTGTGTGCTCTTTTTTTCATTTAACAAATATTGGAGATTTAAATAGAAATTTTAATTTTAATCAATTAACCTGTTTGCAACCCCTATCTTTCAAGCAGACAACCAGTCCTGTTACTTTCTGGTTGTTTAGCTTATTGAAGATAAACTCAAGAGGCAGCCTTGCAACGACTCCTCAATGAGATGCCTTGAGAAATCTGTGATTGGACAGCCACAGAACGTCAGGGCTGGTGAAGAAGGGGGCAGGGGCTGGTAACATCAGGCAGGAGATCTGCACATTTTGCAAGCTGTGTTTAGATATACCTAGAATAAAAAATAAATTATTGAATGCATGTATGTTTTATTGGGAGTATATCCACTAGTAAACAGTGATTTTTTTTTTTTTATTAGGTAACTGTACATTTAAGGAGCTGCAATTATTAGACACATGTTTTTGCAATTGTTTAAAGTAATAAATTCACATTTCATGATTTTTAAATTTTCTTTAAATATAATAGCATTACATCTAAAATATATTATAGTCTCTTTGTTCTGCTACTTAAAACCCACCCACTCTAACTTGTACAGTTCTTCCAACCAAGAAAAAAGTAATTGCTCTGCTACCTTACGTAAAAACACAGAAACATGGAAATAGAGATTTAGATATTTAACACCCTGAGACAAACTGCTCTACTATTGACTTTCTAAAAGCACTTTAACCAATGCAGTTCATGGCTGTGGTTATAGTGTTGTGAGTTTATGGGTGCTATCCTCAAAATGACTGTGACAACGTTTTGGGGCACTAGTATTGAGGATGTCATCAGCATTCTGCCTCCTCTGCAGCTAAACAAGTAATGCAGAAAAAACACCTTCACAGTTTTAAGTGTGAGTACCTTTAATGTTAGACTCTTGTTCCATTTTTTTTTTTTTTTAAATCAGTCACTTTGCTATAGTTTACCATATGCTTGGGTCCTGCAGCAGAACCTCACGTTAGTAAAGGGAAACCCTGTGTTTATAAAATAGCCCTTCAAAATTGTCACAAAAGAAATAAAAAACCTTATTAGAAAACATACATACCTCGAAATACAAGTTGCATAGCCAGTGATCAATATCAGTCATAATAAGCTCTTCAATTTTATTGAAACGATCAATTCTTGAATCATAGTGTCCTCTTAAAAATGGACATCTAAATTTTCCTTCTATCAGGTTAAAGTTGTTGTCACACAATGGAAAGACACCCCATCCAACTGCTCTATCAATGTAAATATCTTTTCCATGAAGTAGAAAAAGTTCTACCAGTAGAGTCATTCCAGACTTGATTTTCTTTTCAGTGGGTAGCAGCTATAAAAAAAAAAAAAGAAAGAAAAAAAAAGGACATAAACAGGAAAGCACTATTCAGTAATTAATGCAAGCTGAGAGCTACATCCACATCCATCCATCTGGAAAAGTATTAAAGAGGAGAGCCACACACATCAAAGAAAATTCAAAAGCATTTCTGTCATAGGTTCCAGCATTATTTGTGACAGTCTCTCAATTTTTATCATGCTTTATATCTCAAACTTGGAAAATGGCCTTACGTGTCTTTTCACTTAGTAGTAGTTTGAAAACTTAGAATTCATTTGTGCTTTCAAGATCCTTATTTACAACAAGACACAAGGAATCAATTAACAAAATTACAGGATCCCCGTAAAAAATATTTAAAATTTTTTGGGCAGCATATAACTTTTTTTTTATTATTATTTAAAAAACAAAAAATGTTTTGTTTAGCAATTATCTCTCAGTCATTTACCAGATTCAAACGTTTAATTATTTTTGAGGTTTAGCAATTACCTCAAACTAATAAGAAATTAGTATAATCAGACACAACTATGAATATGTTTGTTATCAGTTTTGCATATATTATGAAAATATATTCTGAGACTACCTTGTATTGAGCCTAAAACAGAAGCATCTGTTGAACAGAACAAAAACTTAGTGGCAGTGACTATTTTAGCCTTAATAGTATCAGATTTCCTATAAACCAGATCTACACTTCATAGAAAGAACCCATGAAAACTTGAAGAGCGTTGTTCACAAATTAGTCACCAAAAGTATTTTTAATCAAATCACATACTTCTAGCTTGACAGTGCAACAAAACATTCTCTATCGAAAGTATGTTGATAAATGTATTTATTAGCAACAACAAAAAAAATCATTGGATCCTCCATTGAAAATCCATTTGGACCTTACTCATTTATATTGGCAACGTCATAACTATAAAGAATGCTAAAAACGAGGGCTTACTAGTAAAGTTTTAGAACCTCATTTCATGTAATTTATAGTTTCTGAAAGTTTATTACATTGCAACCAAAGCTGACTTCTGGATCCAAAATATAGAATCAGAGCATAGTCATTATAATGTGATAGCTAAACATATTCAGGTGAAGAAAGATCATCAGCACACATTTGAAACATTTGTAAAATTCTATTAGACCTAGAAGGACTGGTCCCTTTCTTGGGCCCCCTAGCCAGCCCTCCCATGACCCTATCCTACCGCTCAGGTGATTGTAACTTGTTGACCAGTTGCATCCTGAGTGAATCTGAGGATTGAGAAAAAAAAACACCAGCAAGAAATCTTACCACCAAAATTCTCAGCTCGAAAATTACCACAAATATTACACTACAGTCACCAAAACTTTAGCTTAATGAAGAAGTTTCTTTGTGTATACATCACATACATTTGTATCTCCTGCTCTGTAAATGTAAATTTAATCAGATACAAGTGGCTCCTGCAAGGTCTAGCAAGCTATTAATAGTACAGAAGATGAGAAATTCTACATTAAACAGAATTTGCAATAAAGGAAGTGTAAACATAAGATTACTCTTTACAGGAAGTATTGTAGGGAGTTGTGACTAGGGATGCATAAACAAAGTGATTTAACTCCTAAATGGCAGATAATGATTTAACTCCTAAATGACAGATAATGGAGCAGTGAGACTCCAGGGGCATGACTTATACACCCAAACTTCTTGATTAAGCTAAGGTTGTTTTGGTGACTATAGTGTACCTTTAAAATCATGGACTATTTCTTCAAAGTATTCTAAACATGGTTTCTTGCTACTAAGAACTGCTTCATTAGATGAAACTTAAAGGGTTAATTTCAATCATTATAACCACGTTTGCCCACTGTAGTTGTTATGATGCCAGGAGTATCTGTTTCCCAGAATTGAAGAAAAACATTTTGCTACGGTTTGCTTTCTTGTCTGGGTCGCTGCTGGGTGCCAGGTCTCTTTTATAGGTAGATTTATGATATCCTACTTCTGAAGAGCTGTAGAAGGTGGATGCAAATCCTGCTGCTCATTCATTGGTGAGAGCATCAGCTGATTACCCTCAGCCAATGATTGCTGCTCTAGTGATGTACAGGTAAGAATGTACTGCACTATTATGTAGACATTGTTATAATGTAGTTCAATATACTCGAGCTGTGTGAATGCATCCTCAGTGTTCTGCAAGATGTCCCTGTATTGTGCTGGCAGGCCTGCCCTTACACTTATTAGCCTTCGCAATGACACATTTATCACCTTGTCACTAAGCGCATATTTCTTGAATTGTGCCACATTGCTGTTTGTAAATTACATTTGACTGCAGGACCTGGTAAAACTTTTTGGGGAGTACACTGGCACAAGACACTGCTTGCTTCATTATAGAGATGCTTGGATTTCCTTGGATCTCCAGTCCTATCATTCACTCCTACTATAGAACATTTATTCTTACTATGTCAACATATTTTAAGCACACTGTTACTAATTTTTTTTTGGCTATAGAGGGCAGTTCTAATATAGTAACACACAACATATTGTACGGTAGTGATCTATAAAACATTTACATGTACCTGACATTACCTGTATTGCACTTATACACATCTGTGGGCTCTGTAATGAATTAATTAAGTCATACTGCATATACCTGTTCTTCACTCAGGAATTTAGATTATAGGGCTCCTTGCGATTATTAGGGAGATGGGGCAGCTTATGTTGGAGAAAGAGGCCCTCACCCACCGCCAATAAGTGTGGGTCTGGGAGTACAATAGGTCCACTCCAGGTTTATTATTTACAGTCCCCACTCACCTCTGAAAGAAAGAAGCTGTGAGGACACTACTCTGTTCATATTTTATAATAGACTCACACTTTGGCCACAAGTAGAGCTTGGGCAACACTATGCCCCCTCCCCCCCCTTAATTCAATTTTAACAGCTCCCACCCACGTACCACAGAGGAAACACTATGTATGCACAGTATGGGCACTACGGACCTGTGTCAGACCCTTCCTTTATTGAATAAGTGACTGATCAGCAATATGACAGCAAGCAGCCACCTATTGCTCACTGTTTAGTTGAAATGTCACTACCCGTGGCATGAGGGAAGAATTAAACCTCCCTTATTCTTAAAAAGTTGACTGAACGACCAAAATTTAAATAATAAGTTGACTGAACGACCAAAATTAGGAAAAGGAAGGTATTTTTCTAATATTGATGTTTCAACTTCTTAGTAGATCACTCCCTATTTCTTAGGTGGGATTACTATAAGGATACCAAATAAGTTATCCTTAAATAAGTACTAAACAGTTCCCTAATTTAGTACCCTTAAATATAGATATCCCATAAGAGTTAGATGCTAAACAACAGCAAGTTGCAGTCACTGCACAAATTGTGGAAATTCCAAAAATAATTAGCAAATTTCATCCAAAAATTAATGACATCAAGGACGAAATTCAGTTTAGAAGAAACAATTTTATTTTGTTGTTGTATGAATGAAATTGGGGGAAACATAAATTTCTACAGCATCCAAGTCTATCAGGCATTAATCCAATAGCAGTTCTGAGTTGCCAAAATCAGAATATTAAACATCTGGATTTAAAAAATAGGAAGTGAGAGAAGTTTTATAATACTCTTTAATGATTGATTGTAATTCTTCCTCCTTTTGTATTAATGAAAAATGGAGAGCACGAGTCATTTCAAATTATCCAAAAATGAAACAAAAAATGTCAGTGGGCAGTTGACCACCCACGTAACACTTCCACCCTAACAAGAACAAAACTTTTCCATACATTTGTAGTGTCAAGTGTTGCCAAATGAGTTGGTGGTTGGTGGATTTACTACTGTAAAGTTGTTTCAACTTAAAGAGGCACTATAGCCACCAGAACAACTACAGCTTAATGTAATGTAAAGATTGTTTTACTGTCCTTTCTTTTTCCCTATATTGGTTAGCAATTATTTGATTTGTGAATACAATTATCATTTAGTTTCTGTCTCCTAAACATCAATCATCTTTATTTTTGTTACCTCCTGATTGGAGAAGAGACCCAGCCCACATCATTGTGCAGAGCTCTTGCTTATTTGCACCCACCAAAAAAACAACCTGTTCTCCTGTTCATCACCCTTTTTTTCTGATGCTAGCAATGACACGCATGAAACGCAAATCACAAATGAAAAGGAGCATGTACAGACTTCTGTGAGTTGGTTCCTTCTAATTTCTAGTCTAAGGCAACTCAGAAATTGGAATATTCAGCACGAATTTGGCCGAATTGCAATTTGGCCAGAAACAAATCTCCAAGTCTACTCTATCGTTTGCACCTTGAAACTAGTACCGAGAACGAATACAGAGAAGTGAAGAAAATAATGTGGGATACATTTACTGAAGTGTTCTCTTCTAAAAAGTGGTGCAAAAATGTAGAAGATACATACATGGATTGTGGCTGCTGGTTCCATTGGTTTGCATGGTATTTGCCCCACTTTTAGTACTTTAGATCAGTTTTTAAAATGCAACACTTTGATAAATGTCACCAATGCTTTAATGTTTGCCCTGGTTTTGCCTTGTCTGAACAGGAAAATAATGATATTTGCTATATCTTTAAAACAAATTTAAAAGAGTATCTTATCCGCATAGCAGATGGGGGCATATGATGTTATTGACCCCCATAGGCTTTTTATTAGCGACTGCTGCAGTTTCACTCAAGACAAATTAATTCTGTGTGTATTTGACTTAGTAAATATAAGAATTTCCAGTATAGTTAGAATTCGGTAATTTTTACCAGATCTAGATTCAGTGAATAACACCGTCAATGTTTTATTCAATTCAATATGACAAATCTTCTTTAAGAACACTCATTTAGCTATTATATTTGGTTTCTACATTCACTAGCAAGTTGTCTGCTCTCAACCCATGAAATTTTCATCCTACAGTGGGAGTCTAATTTTTTTTTACACTACTCTTACTGTAATGCGTTTTATTTCTTGTGTTCACTTTATTTTATTGTTAGAAACACCATGTATGTGCCTCTTATTAAATTATTTCCTATTCCACAGCAGATGCTGACATACAGAAAATAACCTCTTAGGAAGTGATGGTCTCAACATCTTTTAAAAATGAATACCTCAGGTCATGTTAATCAGTTTCTGATATATGTAGTTTCCAGAAAGCATTTCTGGGGAAGAAATTGTAGCCATGACTAATAGTGACAAGCATATGAATCCCATTCTCCATACATTTTAGAATCGCTCAATGTTAGAAGTCCTTACCTTCTAAAGTATTAAAGAGAACTTAACCCTTTGACTGACACAGGAATGTGCCACACACTACAATGGAAAACGCTGCACACCTCTATTGCTCTCATATGGTTAAATGAAAAATAAAACGTTAGCATTCTTTTTTTCCTTCAAGCATAAATATTGAAGTTCATTAATTTTGAAAGAGCATTGTATTTTAAAATCCTAGCTGTGATGCCTGTACTGAATGACTACATGATAAGTGTTCTTAAAACTTGAAGAAAGGGCACTAAATTTTTCACAGAATTTGCGTATCATTTTTAATATAATAAAAGTGCAATGCCCTTTTTATAATGAATAATAGAGCATGCTTATGATTTACATAGAGTATGTGGATTAAATGTCATTTTTGAACAGTTTCTACTTTTTTCTCTGCAGGCTTCCATTAAGAGGAGCAAATCTCTCCTTATCCATATTCTGATAACACTGCTATTGACTCTTCTAAATATGCATTATAGTACTATAGCAATATGCTATACTTCCAAAAGTGTTGCTGACTTTTTCTTTTTGATTAGCAAAAATTCTTTATCCATATTCTTTTATGAGGGTTTCTGCTACTTGTTTTAATATTCTAGCACCGTTGTAGTTTGCGAGATTCATAAACTTTACTTTCAAGATATTCTCCTATCTGTTCCAAATTATTATGGCATTAACTTAAAAGAGAAAATGTTTCCAGAACAGCAAACAAGTACAGAGGGCCTTTGACATAATAAAGCAAATAAAACAATGATTCACCTTGGCACCCATCCTGGTTCTACCTGATCCACAAAACTCCTTATGGTGTCATGAAACAATAGAAGTTTATATAGTTTATTTTTTGTAGTATAACTCAAAGTAATGCATAGTTTTTTTTTTTTCATAGTAGTAGTGTGGAGATGAGTGGTATTAAAGGAACATGTCAAGATTGTAACCTCTACAGTGGTTGTGGTGCCTGGGGTGCCCTGACGCCTTCCCAAATTAAGTAGTGGGTCAGCGCCAATCACAGCCTTTTTGCCTCTTTGGCTGTGATCCCGGCCCAAAAGTCGGAACTTTAAAAGCTGGAGGTGGAAGCACACCCAGAATGAGATGCCTCCCTGTACAGAGCTAAAATGGCCGCCAGCAAACCACATACACGCAGCAGAGATCCACGCTGGGACGCCGCGGCCCCTGGGGTGACTGGGCCCTTCCGGGCAGTGGACAGGTCGACAAGGAGCCGGCCCTGATTCCCGGATTTTGTGGTGGTCCGGGTGAATATGCCCCCAATTCCGCGAGCACGTACCGGCGTCATATAAGTGGCCGGCGGCGGGAGAGGCAAGATGGGGCCAGAGCTCCAGGGAGGCCCAGCTGAGGCCGGGGAGGTGCAGGAGACTGAGACCCCACAGACTCTACGGGGGGGGGAGAACGACGAACGGCTCCAGTCTCTGAGTGCCCACGGCGAGGTAGAACACCCTAAAAGACACAGAAGCATGCCTTTGGAGGGTGCAGGGGGGGCTCAGTCACAACCGGGGGAACCGGGGAGACCCAGGGGGGCACAGCTGACTCACCATGTGCATGCTAGCCCTGCAGCAACCATGGTGAGGACACACCAGAAAGAAGCCTGCAAAAATACCACCATGGGAGATGACGAGTCCACAATGGACCATATCACCACACCGGGCGCCATTACGCCCCCTCCAGAGAAGTGACTCAAGTTCTAAACCTTGAATGGGTTTTGCTGGAGTTCGACATACTACTGTTTCTCTTTGCAAAGGTCCATGAACATCATACATAATTCGCTTATTGTTATACCCTAAATCATTTATCGCACAATTTCTGTTCTCTTTTTAGTTTTCTTAAACTGTTAAACCCCAGGCAACAATTACCTAAGATTGTGAATGCATTGTGTGCCGAATACCTCCGGGTTTAAACTCAGGCATAAAAACAATGGCACCTGCCAAGTTAAAATATACATAAATCAAATTCCGCCTATTTCAAAGCCTTTTTATATAGGGGTAGATATCACAATTGCCAACTATCTAAAGATTGAACCCGCAAAAACCTTTAGTACGGTACTTACCTGTATGACCGTCTAGACCTGTAGTTAAAGACTAGGTGCCTAGAGCTTGAATTTAGCAATTCAGTCAGAAATGCACCGTTTCATTATTATTTTTCTTAAGCACATACATAGTTCGGAAAAAAAAAATGAACATGCCATTTACGTTACAGCGCTCACTAGGGCAAAAGCATAATGCCATGTATTACTGCTGACTTGATAGCCAGATGGGTGCAACATATATTGTATGTTAACATGCCTACATTTTAACTTAGAAAGGAATATGTTCACTGAGTTCTACAGAATATACGTTAACTCTCCCACAGTCAGGGAAGACGCTTACAGTGCATATCCACACATAGCCACAGCGACACATATGAAAAGCTATGATACCCTTAAGAGCTAAAGTTTACAGACAAGTGACGTGACACATCAGACACAAGGCTACATGACAGTGCTACACTGCTTAAAACCACTGGCTCATATGCCCAGATAAGCACAACTTAAGCGAAGGAAAAAATTGATGCATAGGCGCAATTATCCAGAACCGCGCTTTAGTTTTCCCCGACATTTAGCATTTCAGCCAGCAACACACATCTGCACGGTTACCACACTGCACCCATCACATATGAGGGAATGCACAAACTTCAGCGAAGGCGATCAAGTGCTTCCTACGTTAACATGCCAGATACCTGTACTGTATTTTACACTGCATGATATTAAGAATAACATCACTAGACAATATGCATCGCAGGTCAGCGGTTCAGATTTTATAAGCATGAAACGTACAGACGACGATGTATTGTGTGGTACAACTGTAATCAGCCTCTGCGCAGGCACATATGCAACTATGATTTTATACAACACTGAGCTTCTGCGCAGGCAACATTATGCTGAATCTCGCTCCTCATAATATGCATGCAATTTTACTGCAAAAACAATAAAAACCATTTAAAACAATAAAAGTAACATGTAAAATCCAAATAGATGTAATAAAGTGCACCAAACAAAAACCAACAAAAAAAAGCACAAAACTGTCTTAAACACTATGATAAACCTCCCCCATTGTGATTTTTTTCCTTTCCCTGAAAGCCACCAGATATAATTTATTGTGGTAGTCTAAGTGAGAGTACACAAATACATTATTAATATTATCAAGAACTATGTTTTCAAGTATAAGACGTGGAATTTGATAATGACCTGTTATTGGTCTCCATCCCACATATTTCCCCATGGTCCTTTGAAATCTCAATATTCACAATGTCAAAAAGTAACAGAGAGGTCTAGCAGGATTGGGACTGAACTCTCAAAGCCATCTCTTACGATGAGCAAGCTGATAATTACTCCTACCACTACCGTCTTAATAAAATGGTACTGTCTGGAATAGGTCCTTGATGGAATTGGTTGACAAATGGGAAGCTTCTAATTTGTCTTCCCCAGAAAAGGGAATTTTCTAATTAGTTTTAACATAACTGTGGCATCAAGATCTAGATTAATATTTTTTATAAGACTATTTATTACTACTTGTATCTTCTACCTCCTATGAAAGTACTATGTATCGAATGGACACTGCACAATTTTGATAAATCCTGAATTAATCATACACTTTATTAAAAAAAATACTTTAAACCCTTGGGTTGAGACTCAAAATTGATTTGTCTGGCTATTTCATTACGTGCCCACTTGTTGGAATAAGCACATATTTACATATTTTCTCAAATTTAATATTTTTGGATAAGCTTTTCAAATGATTTAATATTTCTTTATGCAGTTAAAAAATACATTAAAATATAAAAAATATATAATTTATAAAAAATATATCAAAACTATTTATCAAAATATTAAATAATTATAAAAGAGTAGCCAAATATATTAACCAAATATATTACATAATTTGAAATGCTTATCCACAACAATGAAATTTGTTATTAATAATTATACATTTGAAATAATTATTTCAAAATATTCAAATATCAAAAAATATATCATGTATTATATTATGGATCCCAAAATATTATCCTTTGAAAACCATATAAGAGGGTTTCTGGTATAATTGCATAACTGAAAAACTGGTTAGCAAGCCATATGCATGAATTAGGTCACTACAAATAAAGGTTATGAATCCTGAAATCAGAAGGTATTTTTTTAAATTGGATCTAGAGTGTAGATATCAGTGATGGACTCTTCAGTTATTAGCATAATCCATACAAAACAAGAGAACTTGTTCAACTGGGTAAAAGACTAATGTTCATATTTGTGACTGCCATGTAGCCATGTGGATATATTGTGGCATGGATATAGGACACTTTACCCGCAAGGAAGAGTTTATCTCATAAAAAAAATAGTATTTTCTCCATTGACATCAGTGGGAAATTTTACATTCAGGAAGTAAAGTAAAACCCTACTCTTCTAAGAGAACCAAGCCCACATTTTTATTGAAGACAAACATCATATTTAAACTCCACCCACTTTTTTCCATGCCATCTCCATGTGCAGAAACCTTTACCGTTCCAAAATTTCAAAATGTTTAATTTCTTTATTTTTCTACTTGATTAAGGTAGTAGGTAGGATTCACGTTTGTATTTTGTCTAACAGCACCAGGAAAAAAAAATCAGTAACCTAGTAACAATTGCATCATTAATCATCAACTAAATAAATTAATGTGATCTATTTTGCACACAGATAATCACTTACTGTATGCACGCTCTGATTTACGGTGATTTCCACATCATAGAATCTCCCATTATGATATACTGGCAGAGTTGTTTCAGACCATTGTTGATTCTGTACTTTGGACCAATGAAGAGCATGACCTCCAAGACGACTAAGCAAAGACGTTTTCAGAACATAGTGGCCCTTGGGTATCTTATCTTTCACACCACGCAGACATTTAAATAGTATCTGAAATGGCTGAGGTTTAGCCGACCATCCAATCTATAACGATAAATGATAAATTCACACATATGTTTCTTGTGCACCCCTTCTTACACCACCTTATCCACTAACATGCAATTACCCACTAACATGCAATAACATGCAATAATCGCTGATACCTATATCTTCCAGCATACACCAACTTGCACTAAACCGAACCTTATGTCAACTAAAATACTTCTCCTCCGGACAGTATTACCAACATACATGTACTGTAATTCTGCCGGACTATGGTGTCCCTGTTCTTTATGTTGATGGCGAAGTATGACGACCTGTACCTGTCAACTGGGTACAATACACATTAATATATAAAAACAGAAGACAGGAATGCAATGCCGTTTGCTGCAACTTATGCCACAGTGATTACTGTACATGCTCTTTGTGATATAACCTTAATGCTTGTTGTACACTTCTAAACTGTATTGCAATTACCACTGTACCACCCTAAATAGCAATAAAAAATGTAAAAAGTAAATTAAAAAATATATATATTAACCCCTTCCTGACCAAACATGAAATTTGTTTGTCAAACTTGTTCTTGCGTTAAGGACCCTTGATGGAAAATTTCCGTCATTTACTAAAGTTAACCCCAGATCGCCGCTCCCTGTAGTTAGTGATCAGTTGGCATGGAAGGGGTTAATTTTATTAAAGCAGGGGAAAGAGAAGGTGTGATTTAACTTTAACTTTATTTTTTTTACAGGGTGAAGAGGATCAGCACTGATCTGTCTCCCTGCAGCACCCGATCGCACTGTCCCTGTAGCTGTGATTGCACTGATAACCTGTCAGAGTGAGCACATGTGCTGCAGGGACTCCTGGTCCATCTCCCTGTGCTTCCACGGTCTGCTCCCACCCCCTCTTTCCCCTGCTTTAATAATTTTAACCCCTTCCATGCCAATTGATCGCTGACTACAGTGATAAATTGGCAGGGACTACATTTTACTGTCATCTGATTTTTTTTAACCCATGAGGGTTATTTTTTTATTTTATTTTTTTACCCTCAGGGATTACATTTTTTTTTATTAATTAATTTCAATATTTTAAAATTATATATTTAGCTAGCTGAGTGGGTTGAAGTTAGTGGGTAATTGGGGAATTTGGTGTTAGGTTAGCTAGGGGTTAACATTAAAAAAGTTTTTTTAAATAAAAGCTTTAAAAGTTTTAAAAAAGTTTGAAAAAAGTTTTAATAACATTTAAAAAAAATCCCAACATTTTAATAACATTTAAAAAAAAGATTTTTTTTTAACCCCTGATGGTTAACTTTTATTTATTTTATTTTCGAATTATATAGTTTGCTAGCTGGGGTGGGTGGGAGTTATGGAAAATTGAGGAATTTACTGTTAGTGCTGCTTAGTGCTAGTTAGAGGTTAACGGAAAAAAAAAGTTTCTAAAAAATAAAGTTTAAAAACAAATTTTAAAAAGTAAAATAAAGTTTAAAAGAGTAAAAAAAATACATTTAAAAATGCTCATTACCACTACAGCTGGAACAAAGTAGCGGAAAAATGATCCCATGCTAAGGTTCAAAATATGCCTTTTGAAATACCCCAGGGTGTATTCTTTAAAAAATGGCACGCGTTTGTGGAGTAGTTTTGAATAACAAACCAGCTAAATGACTCCAAAATGGAACATGGACACAGTGTAAAACTTCAAAGTTATAAAAAAACTGAATGGCTGCGTCTCAAATGTGCCCTTTCACCATCCACATATACCTGGCAAAGGTACATACAGGGGTATTGTTGTACTCAGACGACATAGCTGAGCAACATATAACGTATTATACAGCTGTAGCACACATAAGGTTTGCAAAATATACTGCGCAAACTCACTTTGTGTGTCAAAAATGCAAAAAAATGCTTCTTACTTGGTACAAGCTAGTGGAATAATGATCCCATGCTAAGGTTCAAAATATGCCTTTTGAAATACTGGGATGTCTTCTTTAAGAAATGGTATGCCTTAATGCTGTAGTTGGATTATATAGCCTGCTAAAATATTCCAAAATGGGACATGGACACAGCGTAAAAATTCAAAGTTTGAAAAGGTACATACAGGGGTATTGCTGTATTTAGATTACATAGCTGAGCAACATATGAAGTATTATACAGCCGTACCACACATAAGATTTGCACAATGTACAGTAGTAGCTCACTGTGTGGGTCAAAAATGCGGAAAAATGCTTATTACCACTACACTTGGTGCAAAATAGCTACAAAATGGTCCCATGCTAAGGTTCAAAATATGCCTTTTGAATTACCTTGGAGTGTCTTCTTTAAAAAATGGTATGCCTTTATGGTGTATTTGGAATATGTAGCCTGCTAAAGTGCTCCAAAGTGGGGCACAGACGCATCAAAACCCTCCATGAAAATTCACACTTAAAAACCTGAACTTGTCACATCTCTTTTACAGCACTCTAACTTCATAAAATAGTGTCGAGGTCATACATTGGGCATATTGTTTTACTCAAAAGATGTAACTGAGCATAATTTGGGGGATTTTATGACAGTGGCACATATCAAGTGTAAGAAATACTCAGCAAAAATGCAACATGTAGGTAAAATGCAATTTTTTTCCCCTCACCACAAACATTGGCATAAATTGGTGAAAAAATGGTAACAAGTTAAGGCACAATATATGCCATATAAGATACCCCGGCATGTCTGCTTTATCAAATGAAAGCCCTTTGTGGGTTTATTTGAACAGTCAAACTGCTGTAATACCCTAAAATGAGACATAGGATCGTCAAATCCGTCTATGAAAATTCTAACTATAGAAACGAAATAGCCTTGTCTCTTTTATGGCATTGTAGATTCACAGAAGAGTGCCAAATGCATACAATATGGGTATTGTTATACTCAGCATATGTAACTGAACACAATATGGGCAGGAATAGCACACACCAGCTTTATGAAATACACATTACAAAAACCTTGTTATATGTGTATATGCCAAAAAGTTAAAATTGTCAAATTAACCTTAGGTAAATATCAGGTGATATCTACTTTATATAAATATATACTTTTCTGTGGCAATTTTGTTTTCTGTGATGGCTACTAAACCTACAAGACAAACATACCAACTTCTAAAATTGTTTCACATTAAAATGTTATTTTAGTCCTTGTATTTTGTGTCCTGTAATTTTCAAAATAAGCTAAAATCCTACACATATTATGTAGTCTATAAATCAAGACACATAAATTTATTTATTTTGAATTACTTTACGTAAGTTGGACATATTATCAAACATTATTATTGCCAAAACCATGGGGAAAAAAAAAAAGTGTTTTTCTTTTCCCATTGTTTGGCATTTTTTTTTTTAAATTAATGAGAACTTATCTATGTATATCTGTAATCAAATTAAAGCCATTTTTGCTTTCTAAAAAATGGTATATAATATGTGTTGGAGCAATAATTGACAGAGATGCAAATTGCCTTTGAACACAACAGCAAAAAGTGCAAAAATGGCTTTTGTGTTAAGGTGTTAAATTGAATTGCATTATTTTACTTGGTTTGCTTTTAATTTAATGTGTACATGACATGAGTATGTTCACTTTCATTCTATTGAAAGAGCACATGTGCAATGAGATATCAAAATGTTTGCAAGTTCATAGTTTGTAAGTCATTTATATTTAAAATAATATCTATAATTTCCTCACTTGTCAATCAGTCCTTGGCGAAGACTCTATGTTGAAAATCAAGTGATAGGTGGGAGCAGGCAAGAGAACACTTCATCTCCTGCTCTCCCTCGTGGTGCTATTCCCAGAGCAAACATGTCACACTTGACAACATTCCAAAATTTGGACATCAGAGGGGAGGATTGCCTGGCAAGGGGATGGAGTGCTACAAATGTAAAATAATAACAACTGTGTACCTCCAAGAACTGGAATGGTAGACAGCCTTATAAATGACAGGTTTAATTTTAGTTAAAAAATTTTATTTTATTTTGTTGTGAGAAAAATAGTAGCAGCTAAAACGTAAGTATAAGGCATCTGTTTTTAAAACGACATTTGTTTTAACAGATAGAATCAGAGCACAATAAACATAAAATGATTTTCTTTCTGAAAATAATTATTCCATACAATTACCACATAAATAATTAACTTTTTGTTAAAAAATACAAATGTTACATGTGGAAACAAAATTGCAGCAACATTAACCTGAATGTATCAGGTTAATGTAAAAATAATATTTATATGTAACACCAGTAATGAATACTTCTCCACTAGTTGTTTATATGTGAAGATTGAGACTGTTAAAAAATTATAAGCCTTTAAAATCTTCACTTATGTCTTATTGTAGTTTGTATATCGCCCAATTAACTTCTGCTCCTCACATGTACTTTGTTTTCTATTGTAATGAGGCAGTGTTCTGCTTGCAAGCATTGCTTAAATCATGTCATATGCTTTTATTAGATAACCAGTAACATATTACGTTGCTATTAATATTATGGACATTTTCAAAATCACCCTAAAAAGTACTTGTAGAAGAGAACATTGGCACGTCTGCTAGATCCTACATGTGTTACACTCTTAATCACTTCACTACCAATAAATTCACAAATAGGACCACCAGAGTAAAATTCTGCATAAAAATTAGATTCTTTTTAAAAGCAATACTATCCCTTTAGATGTTTTCATTGAATTTAATTGAATTTAATTGTGCATGCAATTGTAGATTGTAAGCTTGTTTTAGCAGGGTCCTCACCAAGCTATTGCTCTGTCAACATTTGTAATAGATTGTCTCATTTGTTATTAAATTCCCCCTTAATACTGTAATGCTCTGTATAATAAGTTGGCCCTATATAAATGCCAATAACTATTTGTCTTATATATAAGTTTAATGCTTGCAAAAAGTGTTAATGGGTTGAACTTCATTTTCATTTTGTATCAGTCATCATTGATAACGGTTGATTGGAAAATACATCTTATCTTCAGAAGCACAAAAGATGTTTTTGGTCTATAATTTTAGATGCACAAGAAAACTTATCCAGATTAAGAAGATCTGATCTTCCGTACATCTACCATTTTATACTCTTTGTAAATAGGGTTGCCAAGAACGTGAGCAACTGATGAAGAAGAATTAAACAGCGGCAAGTTGAGCGAACCTTCGAGTGAGAAAATATATCAACTATTTCCTTTTACATGCTCTAATAGACCCGAGAATATAATATTAGATATTGTATTTTTTATTTGGAATGTGGAGAATGACAATCATAGCTTAAGTCAGTAAGCAGTAAATATCCAAAAAAATTTAATATAAATGTGCTGGTACAGTTAAGAATAAGATTTGTCAGATTGAAGATACTCAGTAGCCAGAATATTCAAGCAAATAAAGTACCACTAGGAGGTACAATATAAAGTGGGGGAACATAAAATCACTGAGGAATCTAAACCAGAATTATAGAAAGATTTAGTTGGCTGTATCGGGCTTTATTTCAAAATTGCATCACTGCTACCTATATGATGAAATCTGCAGAAAAAGTAAGGAAATATATACAATCCTGCAGAAAAACACCTGTCGACCGCTATGAATACTTGACATCTGTGATTAAACTACAAATAAATAAAAAAAACTACATTGTGGTACACAAAAAGATACAAAAGAATTAAAAAATACCTGCACTAAGGAAGTAGTTCAATAAACTTATGGGGCCAGAACAGTTTATAAATGGCTCAACTAATAAAATATGAGGCAGTCTCAGCAAGGTTAAGCTGAGAGCCTCAGGAGGGCAGTGAGGCAAAATCTGATGTTCAAAATATATTATTAGACCAGATTAGACTTGGAGATTTGTTTTATTACGAACTGCAGTTCACTGTCCATGACTGTCCATATTATATTTATAAATTCATGATATATAAATATAGGTTGTTTTTACTGCAACTCCTCTTTTTCCCTCTATTGGTAACTTTTTCTACCTTGTTCTGTGAATCAATGGCAGAAGCATACGATCATACTTATATTATGTATATATTTTGCAGTACACTTATTGGCCCATTTTCGCTCCATTTTGTGTCATCTAATTCGTCTTCCTGAATCTTTTTTTGTTAACGAAACTCAGTCGCACTGAACCACCATATGACTGAAATTTTGCAGTCCTGAAAACATATATATTTTCAGGCGAAGTGGTTCAGCCGAAACAATTTTTTTTCAACATGCACAAGACTAGAACAAATCAGCACAGGCTTTTTTTAAATTTTACTTTGAGGAATGTCTATTTCGGTGGGTAAACAAATGATAAAATATCTTACTTTTTATAATTTTGATTTTATAAAAAAGCCATAGGATTAAGGAATGCTTAATTTTAGTCTACTTGTGTAGACTGGGCATCTTAAGTTTAGGAAAGGCTATTTTCTAGTATTATATTTGTAAGGCTGACCTATATTTTTAGTGGTTATGTCAAATCCCAGCTCATATAGGGTGTAGAAGGAATGATGAGATTTTCTCCTGATTAATAGATGAGGTTATAGGAGGCTCTTTATACAGCTAATCATATTAGTATTTATTTTTTTCCAGTAATTTAACTTAGTGACACTTTTAATACAGTTGTTGTGCTTGAAGGAACTATTTTGGTGTACATATGTTTTTCTAGTATTTTAAAAGGTTTCTCTCTTTTTAAGAATGCTCTTTTCGCTAGGCTGGTCAGGACAATATATGGAGGTTATTTCACAAATCTGCATTTAGGTAATATTTATCTGTATGTGGGTCAAAGTTTTATAAGTCAAAACCCCATGTCATATGTCATATAAAGGGACACTATAGTCACTATAGTCACCAGAACCTCTACAGCTTAATGTAGACTTTCTGGTGTTTATAGTCTATTCCTACAGGCTTTTAACCGTAAACACTGCCTTTTTAGAGAAAGGGTAGTGTTTACATTGCTGCCTAGTAACACCTACAGTCACTTAGACAGCCACTAGAGGTGCTTCCTATCACTATGTGCAGCACTGACGTTCAGCATCTCCATGCTCGGTATGGAGACACTGAGCATTCCTATGGGAAAGCATTGCACCTGTGCAATAATCATGCTGTCTAATCAGCATCTTGATATGCCACACCTGTAAGGTGGATGGATTGTCTCGGCAAAGGTGAAGGGCTCACTAACACAGATTTAGACAGATTTGTGAACAATATTTGAGAGAGATAGGCCTTTTGTGTACATAGAAAAAGTCTTAGATATTTGAGTTTAGCTCATGAAAAAAGGGGGCAAAAGCAAAAGTTTATATTTTTGTTCAGTGTAAGTATTTAACAGGATTAAAGGAAAAAAGGGTAAATGTGAAAGTACTTTGCCAAAAAAACATTGTACACCCATGTGCACCATATCGAGTGTATCATGCTAGCTAGGCTACAGAGAAACCTGGAGTACTATTATGGTTTCCACATTCACTTGAAAGTTCAATTGAATTGATTTAACTCGTTTAGGAAAACTGAAATTAACCCTTTTATCGTGAAGCTATTTGCAACTAAATGACCATAATCCATTTTTTATGTTCTGGAAGTGTAAATGTTTTATTCATATCAGTATGCATAAATAACACAATATTTAATGAGAAAGCAGCATCTTTATCAATTCTTGTTTATTAGACATATATCAAATAATGTAGTTAAACGGTAGAATATGCTGAGAAACATTTATATACTAGGTTAAGGCACATTTCTTTAGCCAATGTGTTTATATTTATAAATGGGAGTTAAGAGATAAACACTGTATTAAAATTGATTATTTTAATGCATTAATGTACACCATTCATTAAAAGGTGATGGTAAGTCCACCTCAATATTATACAACATATCACAGCCCTAATATAATGTAAAGGTAGTAAGTGTATTGTGGTGCATAGTTCAACATATTTTATTCAACCTTACAACATTAAATGGGCTTTATAATCCTTAGGATTAAATTCATTCTTGGCAAATAGCACTGCAATTAGAATTGTGTTAAAAAAAGTAGTATACTGTTGATTGCAAACTATGAAACTATGGAAACACTTTAAAGAAATTTAAAATTCAATCCTACCTTGGATTTAATATAAAAGAGAACACATTATCCTACATAAAGAGCATTCCTGGAACCACATCAAATTATTAGAAATGTGTTTAAAATGCTAAATATCCTTTAATCACAAATCATGATGATTATTATGACTAGGTGAAATTACAATTATTTTCCCTTTAGACGTAAAGCCATAAAAATGATAAAGATTATATTTTATATTTTGATCCTGAGACTTAAAAAAAACCCTCACAATATCATCACATAAATGAACAAAATTTAGCATTTGAAACCCGAAGGCAGGATTATTGATGCAAGCTGCCTTGATTATTAAGAACATTCTAAATTATAAAGCCTTTATGAATTTTATATTGATATATATTTCCAGAGCACAGCATGCCAAATGTGACATTTTTGATTTGAGATTCCATAGCAATAGTAATTCTGGAAATGTCACACAAACAAAGATTTTGTAATATCCCGGTAAAATTACAGTGTATGCCCAGTTAGTTATCCTTTTTCTGGTTTTCCTGGATGCTTCAAGTGAGAAAGCCATAAAAAATCTTTATCTCTATGAAACACAGCAATTTAGAAGATAATCGAATAGTGACTGGGGGGCAGAAACGCCAGTCTGAGGAATTATACCACGATCTTTCTTACATTTACAACCTATCTCAAAGAGAGTGTCAGATGAGTAGAAAAAAAACACAAAAAAACAATATAGGAGATTCATGAAATACCATCTCTGTTTCATTTGCATGGTGACACATCTGCCACATGTCCAGCTCATGGAAATTCCTTGGCCAGCCTTGTTAAATGGTTTTTAAAAAAAATGTAAACATGCCTAAATGATTCACATTTAATATCATCAGACATCCTACTTAGGTCTTCCTATTAATGTCAGTTTTCAAAAGCAGAAAAATCTACGTTTTAAACTGCACCTTTATAAAACAACAAAGTAAAATTCTACAGTAGTGAGAATCGATATATATGATCAGATCATTTAGTATCACCAACAGAATGTTCATGTACAATCTCACCTTCCAGCAAAGTCCCGCAGCTCCATTTGAGTCATTATTCATTTCAGTGAGGTTGCCAAGCTTGGCTAGAATTTCTTCTTTGTGGGCATTTGCTGCATTCAACAACTGGCTTTCTGTTCTGCATCAGTTACAGGAAGCAAATATAATCATATAGTGCACAAATGAAATGCATTTGCCTTTGGATCTACAATGCAATTTGGTTTTCTTTCAATAAAAAGCAGTCATCGGGAAAAAGAGAAATTTAATCTGGAACATTGACAGCAATCTCCTGCATAAATCAGTTAAGAAAAAAATAACAAATGCTATCTGCACTTAGTTGTTTTAACAGCGGAAAACAACAATGGTTTAAAATATGATCTAAATTTATATGTGTTATAGTAAGCCAAAGTTACAGTTTTTTTATATGTCAGATGATCACTTGGTGTATTAGTTCTCTGGGAATGCTTCAAAATCTGCAAATTAGTTTGGTGACTGTCAAATGGCTCAGTAGGTAATGTCATGTTTTGTATGGATTTCAGTAGTATTTGCCAGGTTACTACCAATCAAATGATCTGCACAATTATGTAAAAGTAATAACATGATGTCATGCCCAGTTGTCATTAAAGGACTATAGATGTTGCACCTGCAAAGCTTGCATATAAAATTCCAATGCATAATATACGCTATATAGTCCCTGAGCCGTGCACTCGGAATTTCAAATATTCCTAATGTCCTGGTGTTTACTCCAATGTAGTATGCATTCTAAAGAATGTACTCCTCCTATTTATAGTGGTTTGCTTGTTGTGTGTGTTGTTTTCATGGTTGAGTACCAAAACACTGCTGGTTCTTTAATAAAGTTAAAGTGCATGATTGGATACAAGACCACTGACTGCTCTCCTTCTTTGGAAATTATACTACCATAGAGACACCACTGGGGCATTAGGATTATTTGAAATTCTCTTTACATGGTTCTGGGACACTCATTTGTTATTGACTGTTTGGGAGCAGTCTTACTATAGTACCAAATCGTAATTTAAATGGACTATATGTTTATTTATTTTTTTCTGACAATATGGAGGATTTTTAAATCAAAGCATGCATTTTCTTGGAACAGGCTAAGGTATTTAAATATATGGAAGAGCAGCTTTCCTGAATATTCTGGAAACATTTGGATGTTGACTTACCATTGATTCAGTAACATACCTACCATGGTCGCAGCTGCGACCGGGTCCCTCACTGCAGGGGGCCAGGCCACAGCCACGACCCCTGTGACTGTGGGCCACCTAGATGCCGCCCCCTTCGTGTTCCCACTGTCATAGGGGGGCCCAAGAGGTGGCCCGCTTGCCACCTAATGGACCCCCCCTCCCGGCGGGTGGCACAGTTCCTGTCAGACGTGGTGAGGGAGTTGTGTTCTCTCTGCTCTACTCCCTCGCACACCATTTGCTGATGCTGGAAGACGGAATATGATGTCATATTCCAACTCCCAGCATCAATAGACAGCCCGCGAGGGAGCAGAGCAGAGAAAACACAGCTCCCTCGCCACGTCTGACAGGAACTCTGCCGACCACCGCACTGGGGTCCAGTGGGGCTTCAATGTGGTGGTCGGCAGAGTTCCTGTCAGATCCACGCCTGCTCTCCAGGTATTGAGGCTGGGTAGACATTTAATTGTAATAATGTGTGTGTATGGAAGTGTATATGTGTGTCTGAATGTGTATGTGTCTGTAAGTGTTTGTTTGTCTGAGTGTGTGTTTATCTGTGAGTGTGTGTGTCTGAGTGTATGTGTGTGTGTCTGTAAGTGTATATGTGTCTGTGAGTGTGTGTGTCTGTAAGTGTATGTGTGTCTCAGTGAATGTCTGTGAGTGTGTGTGTGTGTGTCTGTGAGTGTGTGTGTCTGTGAGTGTATGTGTGTATATGTCTGAGTGTGTGTATATGAATGTATGTGTGTCTCTACATGTGTCTGTATGTATGTCTGTATGAATGGGTCTCTGTATGTATGTGTCTGCATGTGTATCTGTTTGTCTGCATGTGTTGGGGACGTGTGGGGTAGGAGGTAGATGTATGGGCCATTTTTCGCACCGGGGCCCCGTGGTTTCTAGTTACACCACTGCATTGACTGAACGCACCAAGTATTAATACAATTAATTACAATGATTAAAGAAGGAGACTCATCTGGAATTACACAGTATATACTTGTCTGATTATCTTCAGCTTAAACAAATTCCCAGTGTCATTAGGATATATAATATTCCTACTTTTGGCCGCAATAATCTGGAGGTCTGCCGCAGATGGTAAACCATACAAAATAAATTGTAATTTGATTTAATGTTACTTATCATCGAAGAGGTTAATTGTGAACTTAAATTGTTGAAATTTTAATCTGAGAATGCACATGCCTAGAAGCTCACATCGTCAGAGGACACTGATGTAATCTTAAATGTAAGCAAAGACATCAAAAGTTACACAAGAGAGACTTCATATGCTTTAAATACCAGAAATGTAATTGAGTTGAAGAGTACTGTGCTTAACACCATGTGTATACATGGCTATTAGGGGTACTTAAGTCTAGGACACATTAACATCCCAGAATTAAAAAGAAAGCAGGTCCTACTATTAATGTCTTCTCTAGGGAATCAGCCTCTCATAATGAGATAAGAAGCCAAGCAATGTCTATGCCTACTGTGGATTCTCCCTCTTCATCAAGTTTTTGTAGGATTCACCCAGCTTCCACCAGAGCCTTCATTTTTAAAAATCAGAAAAAAAGTAGGCTGCAAATGTCCAAGCAACAACCCTGTAGGGGTCAGAAGGGGTACTTATACTACTGGCAGAGGATTTCCATCCAGACACAGGTAGACATGTTGTTAATTTATCTTCTCACTCTTTAAGTGATAATGATATTTTGATATTGACTAAGTGTTTATCTTTTGTCCGTATTACAGAACCTGACTCATTTAGGACTGGGATTATCTTTAAGGACTCTAGTTTTGAAACCTCTCACTCTCAAATGTTAAAGTTGAAAAAAGGCTTTTTTTAAATTATACTTTGAAAACTAACTTTGAAAACAAATTAACACATCTAAGGTGAAAGTCCACTCTAATATCTCTAAGATATAATGTTAAGCCTTAAACTAAATGGCTTCTGATTCACCCATCTGTATTAGACCTGCTGACAAGGGGGTGCCATAATAGAGTTTAATTTTTTTGATTAACACAGGAATATTTTGGAACAACTTTAAGATGAATTTAATTACAGATTATTGAATCATGACCCTACACATGATTTTATTTAGGTAATGTCTGACATACTTGACTCTGCTGTGACAAATGGCACAATCTTGAGAAACTTGACTGGTTATCTATTGGAAAGGTATCACATTTGTCCTATTCTCTATACTTTATCTAAACACCAGAAGACTTGTGTCTGCGTGGGGTGGATAACTGTAACCAATAACTAAATGGCTCAAATCTGCCCTTAAGTCTCCTGTTGTATTGCTGAATACATGTATTAAGGATACACCTCGTGTTATTGAATTGATAAATACAAAGGGTAAAAGTTTGCATACTGTCATACCCCATTGTCAAGGAGCTTTGGAGATAAAATAGTTCTTGTTCCCTCAGTGAAGTTTGTGGGAAAAAAAACAAAAACATTGAGCCAGAAAAAAGAGGTAGGTTTAATGTCTATAAATAGAATAGTCAGAAAAATATGGGAGTATACTAAATTGGTAGACTGGATAGAGTTTTGTGGACAACAGATTGTTAAAGCATGGTCCAAACTATGGCTGATAAATAAAATTTAACTTTTAATAAATTATAAATTTAAAAAGATACAATATACCCACTGTAAATACCAAAGAAAAAAAAGGTAAAAATGTGTAAGCAACTGTGAAGTGTCTACTTATTAGTGCCCAAGCCTGTTTTAGAGGGGTAAAAGTATAATAGATAAATTCTTAATGTCAAAACCATAAACATATGATCCCTAACCGTGTATACCCAGGTAAATTGGCATGTGTAAAAAATAACAATAGTAATAGACAATCCAATCTCCCATCTGATGAGCCGAAAGGTGAAACTTATGTCAGAGGACTGACAGTTAGCTGATCATCCACCAGGACATGCCTGAGATTCACTTATCAGCATTGTAGAAATGCTGGGATCTTGTTTCCTACATCTTTACAGTGATGCTAGAGATTTTTCCACCAGCAGTAGTTTGGACCATGCTTTAACAATCTATTGTGCACAAAACTCTATCTGGTCTAATCATTTAGAATACTCCTGGCCCTCCCATATATTTCTGATAATCCCTCCATTATTTTCAGTTTGAGAACAACTAGCATCTGCAAAGAGCTGGTCTCTTGATGGAGGCCGCAATGACCCCCTATAAATGCCAACGCTTTTATGTTTGCATATGAGAAAGAGCAAATTCTGAACAAATATGGACAGATTCTTTATTGATGTGTTTATCCTATGAACAGATTCTATTGAGGCTCTGCAGGATTTTTGTGAGGAAATCAATAGCATGATATGACCTATGTGCTCAATTATTAAATCTAGCACCAAAGATTGATACATTTCTGGATTTGCAGATCTTCATTAATGCTGACCATCTTGGATATACATTGTATAGGAAGGACACTTCTGATGGCTGACAATTTCCAACCAATTTCTTTAAAAAATGTTCTACTTATTTTGCAATATTTATGGATTATCCATAACTATTCGGAACATGACAGATGTTTCACAGAGATCAATGCCATGTATAACAGCTTTCTGTTACAGGAAATATACCCTTGATAGAGCCTTGTCATAGGACTGGAATAGATTATTTCACACTTGGTGTAACATCAGACAAATTTATATTTGTATAAAAATACCATACTTACTATCAACTTTGAATTGGACGATTACATGGTCCAAGGGCTAAGCATTACCAGTCCAGTTCAGATTACCACCTATAATGGCTTACAAGTGGAATTTGAATTTGTATTTAAATATTTTCTCATGTATACCTATCTATTATTATGTTTTCAACCTAAATCTGTTAATGACTCCCCAGGCATCTATCAACCCCTGGACGTAATTGTTCACTTAGTAAAAGGTCTATTGAATCATTGTGGTTTGGACTACATGGGCAAAACTGTAAATTAATTACTTGAGCAGATGAGGGGATTTTGTTTGTTAATCCAGTTAGGCTACAAGGATGGCTATTCTGAAAAACCAGCTGCTTGGCATTTTTGGGAGGCATGTCTCAAACTTTCCCATTGAGATTTATGGGTATAGACCACATCATTATCACCTCAGGGTGGGAATTGTACCCTTGAATTGCTTTGCTGTGAGGCTTTTTTTTGGATTCACAGGTTGGATACCAATGCCCTGAGGTGCCTTAATTAAAAAAATAGCTTCTATTATTTTTTAGATGTACATTAATATTGTAGTGCATCCAGACGTGGACCTCTTGCTCATGGTGCCTAAAGGGATATCAGTTATACCTCACTGACTGTGTCTAACACGGTTGAAACTTCCTTTCTTTTTTGAGACACTGCATGCTTTACTTAAAATCATTTTAGGGTACTTGCATTAGATGCATAAACCTTAGGTGCAAGAGATACAGCCTGAAACTCTTTCCTTGTGTGTAGAGTGTTTTAGCGGTTTTAGTTCATTCCTCTAAAAATTAGATCTTTGATAGCTTCATACATATGAAAGGTGCTTCTTTTCCTTCTTCAGAGAAGTATCGGCTGGAGGGTGTTTCCTCTTCAACCACTTCCTTCATATTCAGTGATCTGAGCAATACTGGCTGGATCTAGGCACTCAATAGGGGATGATTCTTCTTCTGAAGAAGAAGAAAACCCTTCATGGAATGCTTCTGCATCAATGGATGCACCCATAGCATCATCCTCTGACCATTCTTGCTGGGTCCTGATATCTAAGTCTCTTGCACGACTTACTGGCCTTCATTATGCCCTAGGAAACTGCTTGCTTAATGAAGTCCATAATGTCTGGTGAAGAAGTAGTTACCAGCTGCTGCTTTCAAAAAGACTATGCAAAGACGCTTCTCCTGTAGAGCTTTGTCATTGCATGCTTTACTTGCAAACAGCAAATGTGAGAACAAATGCACTGCAGGAGGGGACAATCCCAGTGTCATATTTGCTATCCCTAGGGTCACTGCAAGTAGATCTACTGTTTACTAAAGGGGATTCTTCAAGGGGACACCTTTGCACATGGCTGTAATGTGAAGTTTCCCAAGAAAGACAGGCTGAATTCTCTTGGAGCAGGAGGTAAAAAAACCCAGGTAAGCCAAAAAGAAAAATCTGTAGTCTAAAAAAACACCTCTCACACTGTTCTTTTGGGCATAGGATAGACTTAGGGTGGAAGGGGTCGGCTGGGCTACTTACACACTTCATTTTAATTAGGTTAGACATGGGGATTAGGGCTTTCATTTTTGAATGAACATTTTCGTCAGAATTTTGGCTATTTGTCCAAATATAGATGAACAAAAAGAAATTTCAACTAATGAAATGATCTAATTGCTTGTTGGACAAAATTTCCTCCTGCAATTCGTTCTTTCATCCTTTCATTTAGTTTATTACAAGGAGGGAGCTACCAGCTCATGCATCCCTCCTTGTAATATTTAAAAATACAAGCACAGCTCCCAGCTGCTTCCTAAATCCCCCATACCTGCCCTCACCCTATGGAAGTCAATATTGACCCCATGTTACTACAAAGTCTTAAACCTTCCTCCCTTCCCTACTGCCGTGCCGTGAGTATGGGCATATTTATTAAACAACAAGCAGCCAGTGGCTGCTCACTGTCATAAGACAAGACTAGCTACTGCTGCCCAGTTATGAATCCAGTGGGGGGGACATGGCACAGGTGGTGCTTGGTGGGGCACCATAGGTGGGGGCCATTAAAAATAATAACAGAAGGACACAGTGTCCCCCCTCCCCTCAACCACTGGCAGTGGGTGGAGGCTTACAGGGATCCTATAGTGCCAGGAAAACAAACCCATTTTCCTGGCACTATAGGGTTAATAGGTCCCCCCACTCCCTCGGGGACCCCCTCTCACTGGGCGGAAGGGGTTAAAACCTCTTCAGCCACTTACCTTTATCCAGCGCCGGGCTCCCTCGGCACTGAAGACCTCTTCACCCCTGCCGACGTCAGCTCCCGAGTGGAGCTGAATGCGCATGCGTGGCCAGAGGCACGCGCGCATTCAAACCCGCTCATAGGAATGCATTACTCATTGCTTTCCTATGCGGATCTTATTTGACACTGGACTCCATGAGGGTGTCCAGCATCATTTCAGTGCATTTTACTCACTCAGAATTGCGGAAGCAGCCTCTAGTGTCTGTCAAGGAGACAGCCACTAGAGGCTGGATTAATCGTGCAATGTAAACATAGCAGTTTTCAAGCTATGTTTTCAACTGCAGGGTTAAAACTAGGGGACCTGGCACTCAGACCACTTCATTGAGCTGAAGTGGTCTGGGTGCCTATAGTGGTCCTTTAAATAATAATAGGAGGACCTATTGTCTCCCTGCAGCTCCCACCCATTGGTTGCAAATGGGGGCCTTAAATAATAAAGTGGGTGGGACCTATGGTGGTGGTGGTGGCTGGGGAGAAAGAGAGGTCCCCCCCCCCATTAATTTTTAGAGCTCCAACCCATCACCAGTGGTTGGGGGTTGGGAGGCATTGGCTTGGGGGACACCATGTCCCCCTATTCCATTTACTTAAGTGCCCTGTTTAGTTTAATAGCCCCCACTCGCAGCACACATGGGGATACTATATCCTGCAGTTACATATTTAAATAGGTGTCACAACATGGCAGACCTGTGCCAGGTCACTCTTTATTCGATTAGTGACTGGGCAGCAATAGCTAGGCTTTTTTATACAGTGAGCAGCCATTTGCTGCTTAGCAGACATGCCCCTTTTTGTGGGATGGGACAGAAGGGAGGATTTAACCTCCCTCGTTTACTGATACTAAGTTTTTTTTTACTTATTAATAGTATAGTTGTCTGAAAGACCAAAATTATGTCAAGCCCTTCCTTTTAATAATTTGGTCTTTCAGCTTCTTAGTAGATAGCTCTTTATGTAAGGTTGCCACAAGAATACCAAAATGGCGCTATCCACTTTACTGCTCCCTAATTTGGTACCCTTTAATATGGCAATCCCACGTAACCATGCATATCAAAAGGGCAAAATGCATAATAGGTAAGCTAAACTAAACCATGGGAATTTCTAAGCATGCTTTACACAGCTTTCTTATTTTCATAATTATGTGTAAAAGTAAGCAGACCCTACATAGTGGAATATCTATACAGAGTTCTAGTGGAAGTAACTAAAACGTTACACACTTTAAATGAAAATGAAATTCCCAACAAATCACATTATAGTGAATATCCCAGTCGATGTTAAAAAATTATTTGTGTCTGTCTATATAACGAGAGGGTCACAAAATACACCACTATACATATACACTAATACACATAAAGTATTCAGGCAAGCACTAGTTAAATCAAATTTACATTGAATTCACATCTAATATATTACAATATTCTAAGGTTTAATCTTTCAAAGACTAACCTGTTTGTAGAAACAGAAAATAAATCACATAATTCTTTGCTCCACAAATTCAATGGCAGTTTTTACCATAAGAAATATAAAACACATAGAATGGCTTACTTTTTAAAGCTGTGATTAGATCTTGCATGCAATATATTTCTTTCACTCTGGGAAAATTCTTCTTGACATTTTAAATCCTAGATAAAAATAAATATAATTTTAAAAGGAAAATGCAATTTGATACAATTTGCTAAACACATTAGCTGGAAAAGAAGGACTTCAAAGGAAAGTATCAGTGAAAGTGTGTGTGAGTGTTGTGCAAGCCCTTTATAACTTAAGAGAATTATTGGGGGAATGTTTTGGAGGTACTCTGTAGTTTACATTTTCTAACTTTATTTTATATATATATATTTTTCAATGAATGTTGAATATTGAATATGACTCAACAGATAAATCCGAGACAGATAAATGCATAGAACTGACTCAAAAAACTGTATGAATCTAAAATATATGTGACATCACACTGTGCAGGGACACTGTAGTACAACATGTGATTGGGCACTGTGAATTGCAGGACTACACATGATTGGTTACAATGTACAGCGCTATACATTTCATGTGAGTCACATTTATCTAAAATAAAACCAAAACAAATATTGTTTATGTGCCTGAGAGAGTAAGCATGGCTGTTTGTGCATGTTTGCATCTCTCTGATTGTGGTGGACTGCCTTACTCAGCTGAAGGGGTTGCTAACAGTTAACCTTAATGTTCTCTCTGTCCCACTCTCTCACACATGCTTCAGACCCCCTGGATGATATTATTTACCCTAATACACGGTTTAAGGTTATTATTATTAGGTTAAGGTTAGTGCACTACACTTAGTATTAGGATTAGTGTTGGGCATTAGATTAATGTAGAGGTTAAAAAGTTAAAGTTAGATTAGTATATGGGTTAAATATTAGGGTAGTGTAGGGTTAGTGTAAGTGTTAAGGTAGAGTACTGGTAATGGTTAGAGATAGTATAGGTGTTACGGTATTAGCAGTAGTTTGCAAGGATATGTAGGGGTTAAGAGGAGATTTTTACTGTTCAGGCAGTACTGGTATATACATGTCCCAGAGCTGCCAGAGATTAGTGGGAGCTACAGTCCCACAACTATTTATATATATATATATATATATATATATATATTATATTTTTTTAGTATATATATATATATATATATATATGTATATATATATATATATATATATATATTTATTTATTTAGAAGCAATGCAGCAGGCCATATTTTAAAAAAGATTTTGTGTATATATATATATATATATATATATATATATATATATATATTTATAAATCTTTTTAAATATGGCCTGCTGCATTGCTTTTATTGTTTTCCATGTAAATATCCAGTGATCTGGATTAAATTCTGCTTTATTCTTTTGAGGGATAGATGTGGTCAGTGTGCCATAAAGTATGTATACAAGTCTAGTAAGTTCATAAGGAAAACTAACCTTTGAAAAAAAAGCATTAACGGAGATATTTGTTTAACTCTGACCTGTTTTTGTGAAAGGCTGCCAAGCACGATTATGTCATCTTGTGCATCCTTCTCAAAGTGTTCAATATAAGAGGGAATATTATCATCTTTGGGGTGAAATTCACAAGCACTTATTGTATCAGACTGGACAGCGGCACAAGTATCTCCAGAAGCATTCAGTATTTTTGCTACAAAATAAAAACCCATGAGCATCTTAGAAGGAAATTCAAGTGTTTATTTTTCTTTTATGACTAATACTTAGAAGCTTTAAATAAAAAAAATTATCATTCATATATTATAATATAAAGTATATATTACATAATTACATCCCAACACCCTCCTCATTTTGCCAGAGTGCTGATTCTCTAACAACATATATTATAAAATAAAAAATACTTCTTAACTGTCTGTGTATATATGCATACATCTCAACATTCAAAGGCCAACACCACACACAAATACAACCCTGCATTCAAACTTCAACATTACATATAAACACACTCCTGCATTGAAACGTCAATACTACATACAAACACACTTCTGTATTTTACACCAAAATTAAATATCAATACACATATATGAAACCAGGGGCCTGCACACACCTGAACATGCATAAATGGGGTGCTGCAGGGGGCCAATTTATACAATACACAAGATCCAGCACGCTCCCTTATCCACTAAACA